TTTGGTACTTAAAATATGGAGGAATAATAACACTGAAGCGACTTTAAGAGTTTTTTTGTCTCTGATTGTGAATTACGTCAGTATTAGCCTTCACAGAAGAGGGGGGAGCGGTGCGAGATATTAACTATATTTATGCAATCCCATGTCCCACTGGGCCCCGTAAGTTCCAAGTAGTGGTTCTAGTTAAAGAAAGATACGACGGACATGGCAACAAGAAATTAGCGAAAGAAAAGATTTAAATAGGCTCTATTGGATTTTTTGACTGCCCAAGATCTGGGTGCGGCCATAGCGCAAGCTTTAACATGCAAAAAAAACATGGGGGCTCGATAAGATCGGACGGTTATTATCTGCAAAGATGTGCTAGAAACACTTTAACTCAATGCAGTTTTTCTGTAACGGAATCTAGGGTTTCTGGCAACTGCACCCGTAATATTCATAGGCTTTCTACGCCTGAAAAAGAGGTCAACTGAAAAGAAAACACCGTGGGAAAGATTGCTAATAGGCGACAGCTTCGAAAGTTTACGCATGCTCAGATATAGATCTTGGCGAAGTCTTAGTCCATTACGTAATGTTTTGCAACAAAGAAAATAGGAATTTTTCGAGCAAGATTGATCGCGTTTCCATCGTTGGAATTTCCAAAGATTTGCTAGACCGTTAAACATATTCGCGCCCTTCCTAGTCCCTGTGGATAAAAAAAATTCATAAGACCAAATTTGAGATGGAGGAAGAAAACACAAAATTGCAAATAGCGATGAAACTTCCTTTGTAACCCCAATTTTTTTTTTCAGCTTTTAAAAGATCGGCAAGACAAATTTCACAAACTGTATGTGAAAATTTTGAGAGATTTCACGGCAGTAAATTGAAGAAAATCGAAGGTAAAGCCAAATTATCACTGGCGAGCGCCTCCCTTTGTGGAGCCTTGATAACGAAAATCATTTTGTTAATATTTACTACAACAAACGATAGTCTGAACCTTGCTCATCGCCTTTTGATAGCGTATAGTGACCTTGAAAAGCAAAACATTAAAATTTTCTGGAAAAACATTACGCTGGCGCGCGCGCCAACGTTGAGGAAAAACATTGAGGAGTCTTCCTATTGAACCCAACAATAGCTCAGCACGTGCTTTTAAAACTCTGTACCATTTCTTTCAAAACTTTGTCATTTCTCAGCGTTTCTGTGAAAAACAAAGACTTGAAATCACCATGTTCTATGCGCTCTTAGAGCGGCCGGGAAACTTCTACAGTAATTCAGCCACGTTTATATTTTTAACTCACCGTTTTCTGGAAGTTCACTGTCGTGACATTTTAAAATCCCTGTTTTAATTTCTAACAATTTTAAGGAAAAAAAGCGCGAGATTTAATTTATCCTGTTTCCTCTCCTTATATCTTAAATTGTTTGAATTTTTGTTTCTCGATGCTGGATAAATAACGATGAAGGAAAATCAGCTATTAGGGCACGTTAAGTGAATGGGTTTTTCAAGGAACAAGCCCAGATGATAAGGAACGAAACCTCATAAAATAAAAACACAGATCACAAAAAAACATGTTTCAAATTAAAGAGTAACGAGTAATCCAGTTGTGAATGAAAACCTTCAATTTCCATGTCGCAATAAACCAAAACTGCCTGTCCAGATCCATTTAAATCCAACCAATATTTCTTGCTAATAACATTTTTTCCTTCACTCGCTTTTATTTCCCGACATGACACTGCAGACACTTCTGGACTGGATCCCAAAGGAGCTGTTATATAAAGTAGATAAAACAGTACAAGCATTAATTAACCATAGCTTCTCTTGCTTACTATAACTTCGACTGCACACAACCAGACTCTACCGAGAACGCTATGATATCTAATGCATACCTCTGTCGACTAAACGTACGCGGTAAAACCGAGCAGGGTCTGGTTGGAAATTCTCAGGCCTTGCCTCCTTGGTCCGGTTATTCAGTTCACAGTGCTTTTCTCCGATTACGTAATTGTAACTCTGGCATCTGATTTCTCTCTCACAGCTGATGTCACACTCGTGGATGGCTGTTACTGAGAACTTCTTGAAGACGAATCCTTCCAGAGCCATTCCGCTTATACTCGTTTCCTTTCTGCATTGTCCATCTGCGGATACGATGGCCATCAAGAGGCCAACGGAGAAAAACAGACACACTTTTCTCCACATTAAACGACCACGATGAGTCAAAAAAGAAATGAGTGAGTTTTCGGTGTCTCCTGTTATGGAGAGTAAATGAAGTCGATCTATACTGAGAATTGTTCTTTACTACTTCTCAAAGCAGTGAAACTTTTCTCAGCAATGTTTATCAGTAGGTCACGAAGCAATTTCTTACCTCAGTTTGTTATAACAATTTTGTTTCGTAACATTTTTTTTACATCGACCTTTAATTGGCTACCAGAATACGTATAACATTGATTAGCTCAGTGTTTCGATGATAAAAAACCTACGTGCGATTATCCTCTTGTTATTGCCGCGCATCTCAGGGTTCTACGTTTTTTGTTTTTTTTTTTGCAATTTCACAGCTGAGTAATGGGAAAAATACTTCAGTAGTATAATTCAGCTACTCAAGCTGGAAAAATGCCACCGTTGAGGTAAATATTAGCTCATAGTTAATAATCACTGAAAAGTTTAAGAGGGATCAGCTTAACATGAAATTTCTTGTTTAAACACAGGTAAAAAGCAAGAGTTGAAATTCTCTTGTAAACAACTATTGGAGGGAATCATCGGTTTCTTTTCTATTATAAAAGGAATTCTTTTCTTACTGTGTTTCTTTTTTCCTCTGTTACTTACTTACATTAATTATTTACAGCTTTGTTGACGAGTTCGACTCGCTAACAATTTTCGTCTTAATCTTCCGCTGCTCGATTATCTTTCGTCCATTCGCATTGAAGTTTAACAAAGTAACTTTTATAAAACTAGGAGAGCCCCATTTTAAACTTTAGCCCATGGAATAAGCTACATCACGGAAAATTGAAGAGATTGTTTAGTTTTTTCGTTTGTTTTATGTCATGGATGTTTTTCAGTTAAGTGATGACATGCGGTGGACGGTGTGTTGGTTCTCTGTCCCTCGTTGGCCTCTTGATGGCCATCGCGGTATCTGCTGACGCACAATGCAGACAAGAAACGAGTATAGGTGGAATGGCTCTGCAGGGATTTTTCATCAGGAAGTTCACATGAGTGTGACATCTGCTGTGAACGAAAGACCAGATGCCAGAGTTATAATTACGTAATCGGAGAAAAGTTTTGTGAACTGAATAACCGAACCAAAGAGGCAAACCCTGTGAATTTCCTCGCAGACTCTCGGTTTTACCAAGTAGGTATTTTTGGCAGAGGTACGTAATGTGCTTTAAGTGAAATCTGCTATCACAGTTCTGTTTAACTAGAAAAATTAATAGCTAAGGCTTGTAACATTTTCTCTCATTTCTATCACAGCTTCTCTGGGATCTATTCCAGAACTGCCTGCTGTGTCGTGTCAGGAAATAATAGCGAGTGAAAGCAAAGCCGTCATCAGCAAACAATACTGGTTGGATCTAGGTGGATCTGAGAAGGCCGTGTTGGTTTATTGCGACATGGGAATGGAAGGTTTTTGTCCAAACACTTGACTGATTTGCTTGTTCATCGTATCTTCATTTTCTTTTGTGTTTCTATTCTCTCTGTTTGTAGCCATTAATGTATGCAGTCCAATTTCGAGTTACATCACTTCAAACAGAGCTAACCACCTTTTTTTTTTTTCTAGATATCGATGAGTGCACCGCCGGTACTGACGACTGTGACGAGAATGCCGGCGCTTACTCGGTATCAACAATATCAGCTCTTACAGTCTGCATGAGTAAGCAGAGATGTTAATTAGAAATGTATGACTTTTAATTAATGAACTTGAAATGATGCCCTTGTAAAAAGAGATACACTTTGATTGATTGTCTTGTTCGGGTAGATCGCCAAACATTTGGAACCTTTACAAAGCTGGTAAAACAATAGGCGGTGTTTACACCATTAAACCTGAAAAAAGGTCTGCTCTTGATGTACTTTGTGACCAAAAAATAGCTGGTGGAGGATGGACAGGGATCCTAAAAGAGACTGGACAACTCGGTTGAATTCTACTGGGGATGGAAGGTAGAGCGAAAAATCACCCAGCTGTTTCCTTGACAACTGCACTCGCTGTATGTCGTTAGCCCGCTATTTTGCTGGCTTCCATTGACGGAGGGCCAATGACAGGTTAAGCTGCTCTCTCTTCATGTTAACCAACAAAACTCGTGATCGAGGCTTGCACATAAGCGCTGTTCTTTTCGAAACCAACTTTGCCAGGACTGTTTGACTTACAATTTGCCCTTAAATGTAAAAGACCTTTTTATGGTTTCTTGAGCCAACCGGAGCCTTGTGAAATATCATTAAGATATTAACTAATTTCCCTACATCTTGGAGGAATAGCAGTGTTATGCACAAAAAATAATGAGAAAAAAAAAACATTGCAAATTAAGAGTAATAGTAAATAAAGTCAGCCACTGAACTAACGGCTTTGATGTGTTGATGTGTCTAAGAGCCGTGAATGGATGACTATTTAAAGGGGTCCTCGTAAAATATCGTGCAGTGGAAAAATCTCTCGAATTTTAAGATTTGAGGATTTTGAAAAAAGTTTCGACCCGCAAAAATTGAGAGAAAAGACAAAGAATGAATGAATGAATGAATGGAAACTCCGTTTATGAACCAAACGTCAAAACGGGTACTTTGTATTAGAAATCACTCGAAAATCCTTCTGCGAATCATTTACGTTGCATAGCTCCTCTCTGAATAACTTGAGGTTCAAAAGTTACATATTTGAAAAGTTTTATTTTTTTCCTTGCCGATGTTTTGCTGCAAGAACCGGGAAATCGGAAAAAATTGTTTCCATGCAAAATTTCTAAGATTTCAATCGGTAAGAATTTGTTCTCGTAAAACACACAAATGCTGACATTCACACCGCCAATTCACTAAATTAACTCCCGCAAAATTTCATGCTCCATATTTGTTGTAAATTGTAAATCGCAGAATCCTTTCATGTTTTATATCGATGTCCCGCGAAAAAAAAATCAAAAGCAAAAGAAACAATGGTAATATAACTTAATAAAAAATAGCGAACATGTCATTTTAAATATTGAATCGATTTTCACACTAGTTCTTAAATAGACTCTGGCATTCACGGCATATCAATATTTCCTGCGAGTCGGCAGATTCTCAAATGGAAAATATCTTTAATTAACTTTCCGTCTTTAGCTTAAAACTGCAAAAGATGACACTTTAGTAATCAAAGGCTGACACATTACCGGTCTTCTTGTTGCGATATGGGCATTTAGCTAGCTGCCACACTACAACACAATGGAGAATTTTAACGAAGAGTCTCGATCTTCTCATACAAAATATAACTTTATTTCGTGCAGATTTCGCACCCCCTTAAAGATATTATACATTTCAAATTTCAATAAATCACACTCTCGGAGTCATGGCTCCGATATTTGATGTTCGTTAGAAACCTTTCGCTTTTTTCTTATCCTTTTGATGTACAGTGTACAACACAAACGACGTAAAGATAACGTATGTTTTGAGCTATGAAACGGAAGTAAAACCCATTACTTGTCTTGAAGCTTGCAAATCATTCGAATCTCGTTCTTGATCGGGTGTCGATTCACGCCAGAGATATTTCTCTCCTCGAAGTTTCCAAACTGTTTCAATAAAATGACGGCGTACCGTAATCGGGTCATACTCATGACGTCCGTGAGGGTTCTGGCATCCTTCACGGCTACAGCCACACGGAAAACTATCTCGATCGACTTGACAATTTATTCCGTTTAAACGACAGCTACACGAGTCAGGCTCACAGAAGTCTTTACACGAACATCCACAAAGCTGCCGAGAATATCTAATTTGCATACACTCAATAGCCTCTTGTTTGTTGATTTTCTTTACGCCGGCCGCTTTCAAAATGTCTTTGCGATCCTTTTGTGGAATTGGCATAAAACAGTGTTCATCGTCGCTATCCACGCTATCGTATGAATCTTCCGTATCGCTTTCGCTCTGATCTTCTTCGGATATTAAAGTTCTTTCGACAAAGCTGTGTTTATGTTTCATCCCAAGCGTTGTTCCACCATTCGAAGGCACACACGTATAACCTTGTGTACGAGGAAAGTGGAATACTGTTCTCTCGCTGAAACGGACACGTCGATTCCGTTTCGCACTCTGATATTCCTCAACATTTCCCAAACTGTCGGCGCTATCAGAACTAGCTGTACTCAATGAATCTTCTTCTTCCAGTTTTCTCTTCGACATATTCAACCTTTCTCCCTGTCCTGTTGTTATGGGCTCAGCCCAGGTAAATTACCAAAACGATCGAAAATTCACAGTGGCAACTTGTTCTTTATGCGAATTGACAGCTCCTCAACAGGTGCAAAGCTACCATTGAGCGGGAAATATCATTGGACGGTGGATGTATTGTTTTAAAGGAGCCGTCAATGAAAAAAACGGCTGATAGCTCTCATTAATTATTTATTCCTGATTGGATAAGACTTCTACCTCCTAGTTCCTATTGGCTCAGGGAGAACAAAAAGTTTTCATCACTGAAGACGCGAGGCGAAAGCTCTTGCCACGTCTCCAGGCCACGATTTTGAAACTGCGACAGCTTTATGTCGAGGCACGTTTCACTCGCGTGGGAAAACTTTCCTGATAAATGAATGTTATGTATGTGTATGTTCTGTTGAAAGATAAAGCTGTCACTGAATTAGCCGGCTGAATTAGCATTGAAGGTCACCCCAATAAACCCTAAATTCAAAGAATTTCCCACCAGCATAAAAGATAAAACCGTACCTGAAATTCGAAAGCAGGTACAAAATTTATTTTCTCTATTTTTCTGACTGACAGTTCGACACCGTGGTTTTCAAAGGAGGTTCGACCAAAGTGTGATTCAGCAGGTTTCAATCCTGGTTTCGCATATAACTTTCTTTGACCTCAAGTATCGTCAGTGTCTTTTAACGATTCCTACTCCGGCTGAACGATTTGCTTTCCACGAAAAAAAATGAATAAAAAGAAAAAATGTGGTTTACGATAAAGGTCAAATGTTCGAGGTCGTTTATCAAATAATCCTCGAATTTAGCGCGGCCTAAAAAAAATAATTTAATCAGGAAAATAAGATCATTTCACCGTTTTTTTAAGCCTTTGTGAGTTACGAATAATTGGATGAATGAAATTTGGCGATCGGTTACTGAAACGTTATGCTGAAGAAGACTACGTGCCTTGTAAAAAGAAAACTCTAGCCGGATTTATTTGGCTTATGTATGGAGTTTTATGAAATCCTCTCCTGAACACATTTCCGTTTAGAATCTCGGCCGGCTTACTATATATAGGTCGCTTTGTTATGGTGTTAGCTTAATTTCATTCTAGCCTTCATCAGCAATATGACAACGTTTAGTAATTTTTTTGTGACATTTTTCCGATTTTTTTCTTCTTTCTTACACAGGAAAGACTCTTGAAATCGTACAGAGATAAAAATGTTTTTGTTTTTTTGGGCTAAGGAAACAGGAAATACACCAATGGTTCCTTAGACTTCCGTTTATACTTCTCGCGATGTGATTGGACGAACAATGGAACTTTCGATTCGCTAAATAGAATGTAAACATTCTTGTACTTGATTTGCTCCATTACCTGATGATATCTCCTTATATATCAAGTGTTCTTTATTTCCAATAGAAAAGATATACGGTAAATCATGTCTGGACGAGGGAAAGGTAAAGCTAAGGGTACTAAATCGAAATCACGTTCTTCCCGAGCGGGTTTACAGTTTCCAGTCGGCAGAATTCATCGTTTGTTGAGGAAGGGAAATTACGCTGAACGTGTTGGCGCAGGTGCCCCGGTTTACATGGCCGCTGTTTTGGAATACCTTTCAGCTGAAATACTGGAACTCGCCGGAAATGCAGCTAGAGATAACAAGAAGTCTAGAATAATCCCACGCCATCTTCAGCTTGCTGTACGCAACGACGAAGAACTGAACAAGTTGCTCGCCGGTGTCACCATCGCCCAGGGAGGTGTGTTACCGAACATTCAAGCGGTGCTGTTGCCAAAGAAGACCGAAAAAGGAGGAAAAGCCACTCACTAGACCTTATATATTTGCTTGGAAAGCTAACAGTTTACCTTATCAAAGCCATTGAGACGAAGTGCTTTAAACGGCTTGGTCGTTTACTTTCCCTTGGCATATCAAGACTACAATTTATTTCCCCAGTCATAAATGAACAGATTTCTATTGAGTGGATGCTGCTACGAAGAAAGATAAATAATTTTCTTGATTGATTAGCAAAATAGGGTGTATCTAGGAAGATTTCCATACATCTCCATGCTTTCATGATCTTTTAATAAGCACACGTTTTATTGATGAAGAAAACTGTGGCGAAAATAATAAATCGCATTTTGCCTTTGGTATCACGGCTTCGTTTCAGTAGCACTATGGGATAACACGAAAATCTTTCCTACTTCTTGAGGAACAGTCAAATTGTGACACTATTCATTGTCAGGTGGCAGTGTGTGCTTTCTTGTCAGTTGCTGGGATTTCTTTAGATGCCACCAAAAATAAGAATAACGTATCTATTTGGTACTGCAACAAGTTTGTGTCACAATACTCAATCCAAACAATACAGTAACGAAGGAGGTTCTATATCTTCTGGCATCGATATCAGACTAAACTATGTCAATTTGAGCTACAAGTTACAGTGGCGAATTTATTTGCCCTATTAGATTATCTGTATCTTCTTCCACTGTAGAAAGTCTTCTGCTTTCACAAGTAGCCACAAACAGGGCGAACCTCAATTTCGGTCCAAGGAGACTGTATGTAAATCCTTCAAAAATTGCTCTGAAAAGAAATTTTATGGATATGGCTGCTAGACGTTTCCTAACGTAGCAAGTTCCTACTAAGCCATTGCTCTGAAGAGAAATTTTATGGATGTGGCTGCTAGATGTTTCTTGACATAGCAGGTTTCTATTAAGCTATAAAAAACACAATCTATGTGAGATCCTGCTGTTAATGAAGGTTACATGTAAGGTGATTGATGGTGAGTAGCTCTGAAATGGCCTTCTAAAACTCGGACATCAAGTTGACAAAAGACAAAAACTCAGATAACCACATCTTTTTAATTTCTTTTCTACACACAATATACAGAGCAACTTGCAAAGCATTTTCTGACAATTTCTTGAACACCTGATAATTGGGCTTGCATACAACATCTGAGACATTTGTGCTCTCTAAAGAAACAATTTTCCTCAACCATCCTGGGTCTTCCTTCAACTCTGATCCTTTAATCAACCCTTCATGCACTAACATCAGTATCTATTTCCTCTACACTCCTCTCTACAGATTTTATTTGGTACTGATGATGAGAATTTGTTTAACAATCAAAGCTTCTTAGGTTGGCAGTCATTCCTATATTCTCATTATCTCACTGAATTATTCAACAGAAATATAGTAAGGAGAAACTAAATGTTGGTCACTCTAAGAGTTTCAAAGATTGAAAGAGATAATTCACAGGTTGTCACTGTGATTTGCGTCATGAAATTTACAAAACCTTTAGAGGCCTAGTCCAATTGTCTGTTACACAGGAGTTGTGAGATGAAGAACTGTTAGGGGAGAGAGCTGATCAATAGAACAATTATTGAAAACTATAAAACTGGTTTCTCATTTTAATCAGTTACACATACTCAATATAAACAGTCTAAACAATATAACTTCATTCAGCAACCAAATCAATCTAACATAACTTGGCCATATTGTAATTAAATTGGTTGTCCCAATACCAAAAAGAAAGTTTTCTTTCAATAATGCTGTAAACATGAAATATTTATGTAAGAATTATATACTTGGAGAATTTCTTGTTTATTATAATAATTCTTCAGTTCGAATATTCAGTCCAAAAATAACATAAGTATTAAATCTGCAGTTATAAAAATTAAATTCTTAAAGTTTTAACTTTTATAGTCTCTACTTTAGGATGTAAATTGGAAATGAATTAGGTATACAGTGCTCAGGTATAAAAACTCAATGAATGAACTCCAAGATAAACTTAATAATTCCTTTCTGAGGATAGAAATTTCTGCATGAACTTGTGTAGGACACTCAGTCTAGCCAGGTGCAAGTGACAGATTGGGACTCCTGTTCCTGTAGAGCAACCCTTACACAGATTATTCTGCTCTCAATTTTGAAAGTCACTGACCACTCAGTGCTGTAGCTCTCCTCTAACAACAAAAGACTCAGTATCAAATGACATTACTATTTATCCCAAGGGCAAAAACTTGGTCATTAATTGTAAAAAAAAATGTCAACTGCTAAACCTTGCATTAGAAAAGGAGCTACCCCAGATGCACAATTGACCAGAAAGTACAACATAGCCACTTCATATCACCACCACAACTAGCCTTGTCTAGAAATTCAAGTCATCAGTTATTTTTGTATGTCATTACTTCAATCAATATTTGACCTAGGCCCAGTTGTTCAAAGGGCAGATAGCACTATCCGACAGAAAAATCACTATCACATAGATTAATCTTACCAAAACATACTGCGCTACCCAGAATATAACAATTTATCTGGTGGATGGCGTTATCCACCCTTAAAAAAAACAAGGCCTGGTTGTTTGCCACTGTTGTAACACTAATCCCAAGTTTGCTACAATTAAATTCATAATGGTTCTTGTCATCCTTGGAGCCCCTTTTCCATCATATCAACACTCCCTAACGGTCTCCATAGATAGTCCTACAATGACAATAATGAGAGTTTATGAAGATCAGGTAATTTAACATGGTGATCAGTTCCTTAATTCTCATGGCCATAACTTGATGCCAATCATTCTTAGGGCTTAATTAAAGGTTGTTTAATGCAGAATAATAAAAATTAAGGATAAGAAAGCTTGTCAATGTTTCATTAACAACCCTTTGACTTTTCTTGTTAGGTCTGGCTTGATTAGCATCTGAGTACAGCTATAAAAAAGTTGTTAGGATCAGATTTCAGAATTTTACATTCCTCCTCATGTGTGTAAAAAAAACAACAATGAATGAAAACTTCAAAGCTACTTCCATGATTTAGGGATTTTACTCTATAGTCGCCACACAAAATAAAGAAATTGCACTGTTTAATAGGGTAAAATTCCTAATTTGCAGCAAAATATGATAAGACCAGCTCAAGCCATATTGAATTCCTGAGGCTGAAATGCTAGCAAAGATTGAGTACCTTGGACAGGCAATTCCGATGTCAATGAGCAAAACTTTGAAAGGTTAAGATATTTCATAATTTTTACCCCTTAACTGACTTTTAAGTTGACAAAATGGACATCTAAACTTTCCTCTTTTAATATCCAATGTGACACTTAGGGGAGTTGTACACAGTTGCTACTAGATTTCCTTTCCTTTTTTTTTTTTCTTTTGCTTAGGTTCATTTCTGAAAAAGAACTGTGTGCTTTCATAGGATTTGACATGGACTTAAAAACATTTTTTCCAATCTACCTAAAAAAGCTATGTAAACAACTTGGTCAGCCTGGAAATAAGAGAACATGTTTCACAAATCAGGAGTTTTTTTTGGCTACTGAAATATGAATTGCATGATAACTGTAAAATAAACTTGGCTTAAGATACAAGAATTTATTAAGTTCAGTCATAGAATATACATTCAGCCTGGAATGGTGAGAAACAACAACAAAAGAAGAACATCTAAAGCAACATATCTAAAAATTCGGAAAAATCTTCTGTGAGATACATCAACAGGCTTCACTGAAAATCTTAACCCAGAAGACTATTTCAATCCATTGTATGTACAATACATTAAGGAATTCATCATGAATGCAGTTTTCATCAACGTTGCATAATTATTTATTACCTGCACTCATGTCCATAAATTAACACCTACCCTAGTGATTAATATTAAAAAATAACTCCTTGGAAACCACTCATTTGCTTGTTGCTCAATTACATGTTCACTTAAAACAAAGCAACCAGGAAGATTTCCGATAATTCAAACACACACCTGCGTGTGTAATTTTCATTGCTATGCAAAATATTTTAGAAAATGTATAATTGCCATCTTTCGTGTTATGTCAAAGCCCTTTGCCTTCTGCTTCTTCTGTTGGATCTGATGAATCAATCAACTCCTGCAAGTCAAAGAACAGAGAACTTAAGTTTGGCACAGAAATAATTAAGGATAAACATTGTTTACCTCTTGGTGTGGTCATTTTTAATGGTAATTGTAGTAAGTGGAATGTATTTTTTTTTTCTGAAATCATAAACATGATTTCGAAATCAAAGAGCATGATGCACAAACTTTATTTACAATTAATTACATTGCTTTGAAATAGCAAAATTTAATCACCCAAATACAACATATCACTCAGTACAAATACCTCATTGTCCTTATTCAAGTACTACAAGGAAGTAAATTCTTCCACTTTTTTGGTTAAAAAAAAATTTAGGGACAAGACAAAATTTGCCACACAATTGCTTCTTTAATTATTCTTGTCCTGCAATTTGATTGGTTACTTCCTTAAAGCCTTAAAATCTGATTTTTTTAATGTTAATTTCTCATTAGCTTCGATTTAAAGCAAAAAGTTGGCAAAATACAGAAATAAATTGCACTGCTGAGAGACAAGCAGATTATGGGGATCATGTGGATTTAACAAAAAATTTAAATTTCATGGAATAAAATGTATCCTGCCAGTACCCACTTAAAGCACTGGATGAGACAAAATTAAATACACACATTTATACATTGTCAACAACAACACTTGGCTTTAACAACCTTGATGATTAGTACCTCAATAGAGCACTGTGGTTCCCTTTCCTCACCACATTTCACATCCTTATCAAGTTCTTCAGATGTGTTGCCTGTATTTGTGAGATCTTGAGATTGTAAATCTAACCTCCTTTCATCTTCTTCAAATTCAAATGCTGTACTTTCCAAATTTGTACCAAATACAGTTGCAGAGGATGACGACTCTTCTAACGTTGTCTGATGAAAGTCCTCCAACAGTTCAGTGTTGTTAAAAGTTTCAGTTTTATTTTCTTCATTTATGGTAACAACTTCATTGGCTCTGCTTTCCCCTTCATCATTGGGTATAAGATTTTCAAGTTCGCAATCTTCTTCAAGGGCATAGGAAACTTCTTGTAAATCATCCTGAGCACTGTCCAAACTTGTCATTTGACCCTCATATGTAAGATCTAATGCATCTTCCTCCACCCCAGCAAAGTACCTAACATCCCTGTCTGGATCATATTGAAGCCTCTGCAGAGCAGAAAGAATGGCCTCTTTGCCCTCTGCATCATTTTCTTTGAATAGCTCTACAATAATAAGAATTAAAAAAACACACACAGAAAAGAATTGAGAGATTGCAAAAAATCATATGACAGTGATGACTGTTACAACTTGTTAAAAAATGAATGCATGTGCA